TTATAATTACTTTTATACCTTAAACTATGTTGAGATGCATTATAAATGTTTTACTATGAAAAATTACTATCTGTTAATTGATCCATTACCAAATATGTCTAGAAACAAAATATTTTTGGAAGAATATATCTTTAGGTGCATGCTGGAAGAAATATAAACAATTAAAATACATTTAAAGCACAGTAACAAAATTAATAATAAAAATTACTCTACCAAGTAGTTTTTAAAAATGCAAAGATGTCAATGTCATCCTTAAAATATGTAAAATATATTTAAAAGAAACGGACTACTGGGTTATGTTTTTCACAACATAATGAATCTGTTGGCAGTACATATATTGCTGTTATTTATAATCTCATAGTGACAAGAAAATGTCACCAATTACTGGCTACAATGACAGAACACAATTTATTCCTAATGATTTATACCCGTTAGGGGAAAAAAGTAGGCTACAAAAAGACAGCTACCAACCTCTTCTCCAATAGCAGTGATTTAACTGAAAGCATATTTGCAAAGGATAACAAGTTATTTTTGTTAATGAGAGTTTGCATAATTTACCTATATAACACCTTATGTTACAAACTAAAATAAGATATTCGAAGGTCTATATTTTTAAATAGATATAAACTAAAACATTCTGTAGCCACTTTTTATCAACTCCTTTTTAAACCTAGATCTCATTAAAGTTACATTGATTTCCAGAGTGTGAAATATAAGATTTGAAAAGCTACTAAATTAGCCCTTCAAACAGATATTTATTGCTCATCCTCAACTATTAAAATTGGCAAGTTGGAAGAATTGAACTTGAATACTCTAGTTATAAAGAAATTCAGAATGACACCAAGAGATAGAAAAGAGAAAGCGTCTAATAATTTATAAAACTGGATAAAAAATAAACATTAAAATACAATTGCATGAGATTGGGAAAGTTGAGGATATAGAGAGAGAATTTTTTTTAAACCCTGGCTTATTCATCTAGAGCAATTGGTTAAATATTGATATGGGAAATTCTTTAACATCTAAAGTGAAAATACAAATAAATTTATGAAAAGAAAGCAAGAAGGGGGAAAATGACAATAACAATAACAGATTTTTCTGTGTCTGACTGTCCTGAGGCTTGAACTCAGAGTCTGGGTGCTGTCTCTGAGCTTCTGTACTCAAGGCTAGTACTCTACCACTTGAGAGACAGCTTCACTTCTGGCTGTTTGGTGGTTAATTGGAAAGAAGAGTCTCACAGCCTGGTTTTGAACCATAATCCTGGGATTTAAGTCTCCTGAGTAGCTAGGATTATAGATATGATCCACAAGCACTCAGTAATATATCTTTAATGGTTCTAGCCATGTTCCTATAAGACTTAGGACAGAGGTAAACAAAAGGGTCAAAAAATGGGACTAATGACTAAAAACTTATTTTGAGGGCATTGTGGGTTTTTTTTTCCTTTTTGTGTTTTTTGTTTTGGTTTTGACTTAAGCATGGGTTGTTGAGGGTCAATGATACCAAGAATAACTTTGGATAAAAATGTAGTATGCTCATCATTAAGCAGCTAAGAGAAAGGCTTGGTAAATATATAAAGAACATGATAAAACATGAGAAAGTATGTGTGTGTGTGTGTGTGTGTGTGTGTGTGTGTGTGTGTGTGTGTGTGTGTGTGTGTGTGTGTTTATGTGCTGGTGGAAGATTTTAGGGAAATTTTTGAGATCCTCAAAAACTAGAAGATGTGAAGAATTGGGGAAAAGATCAGCAAACAATGAAAACAATTACAGCAAGGAGACAGGATCAATTTATCAAGGAATGAATATTGAGCAGAATTAGTTTTGAGAAAAGAGTAACATTTTTGCTTCACAAGTACATGAAGAATCATGACATGAAGCTGGAGACTAACACTGGTCTACTTCATATCAAAAACTTAGAGTAGAAAAAAGCAGGAAAATATTCCCAATTCAACACAGTTAATTATGAACAATCATGATATCTTGTTCTGTTGTGTCTCTTTAGACCTTCTTAGAAGGGGGCAACTAATGGGTCCAAAAGTCTATGCCAGACTGATGTTCAATTATCTGGCAGGTCCTTTAGCAAAATCAAGCAGAATTGATTTGCAGAGATCATTTCTCCAAGAAAGAATTTAGTAATCGCATGAATGTCCTTCTGGTGAAATAATAGAGTGAACCAGATTGTGTTTTGTGAGCTGGTAGTAGCTGAAGAAAGACAGAAAAAGTAACACATGAGGACATTTAGGGGGAGGAGGGATTCACGTATGCAAATCAAGTATGACCGTGGTTAAACAAAACAATATGTTCCACATCACGTCTTCCTCTTTGAAAAGCATATGAAAGAAGAGAAAATGTTACTGGCTTTTTTGATTGTTAACACTGACTTTCTTTTTCTTAAAAGCTTGATCACACGACTGAGATAATGCCAGATATTTTGTGTGCATCTATTAAGCAGAGCACCTGTGTGCCAAGCAGGATGTGGTGTTCACCAAAAGATTCTTCTTGCCTACCACTTCTAAGCAAGTTTTCTGAACTTACATTACAAAATACCATAGAATTCTCCAAGATAGTGGGTAAAACAATAAATTAATTATAAGCCTAGCATAAGAAATGAAACAAATTGACCTTACCACTGTTCCTATGAAATGCTTTTTAATTTAGTAGGATAATATCTTAAAATATGAAACAAATATTAACTTCACAGAAGCCCCTGGTAACATGCAGGACATTTACATTTACAAAGCTCTATCCATTTAATTAGAAAGTAAATTATCTAACAGGACTTGTGTTACTCTCTGAATGCCGAGGCATTTCAGGACAAAATAGGCAGTGTCTTATAGTAGGTTTGGAACTTAGATCATGATTTTGAATCCTGTCTTTGTCATTAGTATCTACAGAACCTTAGAAAGATATTTAATCTCCCTTTTCTATGTAAAATATGGATCATAAGAGCCACAGAAGATGAATGGAAAAGATGAACTGTAATAAGTGCTCAATAAAAATCTAAATATTTATCTAAATACACGTCTTCATTTCTATCAAGCTCTACCACTTAGATTCTCGTGCAATGCTTTTTCTAAAAAAAAGGTTAACAACAAAAAATATTTCAACATTCTCAAGCAAAATCCTTAATGACTGTCGCCAGAAAGGTGGCTACCGACGCTAGCATGCAATGACGGTTCGCAACATACTTCTCCTACAGTAGTGATCCTTTGTGTGGGAAGCCCAGACTTTTGTAGAAAACACGAACACTCCCTTAAAAGAAAAACATCTGCATAGCAGAACCAAGATTGTTTGGAGCAAGAGAATTTTTGTCATTGGAATATTCTAATTAAATTAGGATAAGAGATGGTCTCAGGAAAGGTCAATCGAAGCACTCACTCCTTTCTGATTTTTCTTTTTTTAAATTTTCAGGAAGAGAAATCTTTGCTGACAGCTGTCAACTATCAATGAGCTGCATACTCAGTACAAAGACTGGAGGAAGTCTCTGGGACAATATTCTTAACCGTGAGAGTTCAAATTTCTAGTTCTACATGAAACCCATTCATTTTTATTCTTTCAGAAATCAGTTTGGATCAGCAGTCTTTATTGTTTCTCTCATCCCAACTAATCGTTTCCTATTTGCAATGCCTATAACCCTGGCACCAAAAGATATATTTTATTTCTTAAAAATACCCCTCAAGATGTTTAATATAAGATATTCACAATATATGTGTTTAATACATCCTAACTTTTTGCAGGATTAATGTTTTATTTTTAATGAAAAACATAGATCTCAATAACGGCTTTTGACATTATAGATAACTTCTGTAAATCTAGTTAAATGTGTTTTTCTACTACTACATTTTTTTTCAATGCTTAAAGGTTATATGCTACACTACTAGTGACAAATTATGTATTCCTGGAAGTATTTGTTTTTGTTTGGTATTATAAAATTATCAGAAACTATCAAATCTGAATTTAATATGTAAAATATGCTGTTTATACAAGACAGTTCACATACCTTATCCCACCTCTTTGCAGACTAAATCAAATTTCTTTATTGATTTTTAACTTTTGAAATTTAAGTAAATGAGTATATATTTTTTAGATATTAGGAAGCTTCTTCTAATAAAATGACATGGAAAAAAGTAGGCTGAATGAAGAAAAGTTTAATTTTCATTATCACACTATATAAAAAAAACTGCTATGTATTAAATAACAAATACAGAACATAAAATGAGAAAACATGAATAAATTTTTAGGGTTTAAATCAATATTTCTAAGCATAAAACATCACAAGAAGCCGGTACTGGTGTTTCATGCCTATAATCCTAGCTACTCAGGAGGCTGAGATCTGAGGATTGCGGTTCAAAGCCAGCCCTGGCAGGAAAGTACATGAGACTCTTATCTCCAATAAACAATTTGGAAGTGGCACTGTGGCTCAAGTGGTAGAGTGCTAGCCTTGAGCTGCAGAACTGAGGGACAGTGCCCAGGCCTAGAGTTCAAGCTCCACAACTGACAAAAAAAAAAATCACAAGAAAATAGTAACCCTTATTTAATTATGTTTGAAAAATCCTAAAAATATATTTATATGAAAAAAATACCTGAAGCAAAATGAAATTGAGGAAAGTATTTGCAAGATATTAAATTCTAAACATTCATAAGATCATCTTATATAAAATTCACTTGGAACTTTATGAGAAAACATACCCAGATCTATGTCCACATATATCCATGATTATATATCTCTCTATATATCTGTATTTGTCTAGTCCTATATATACACTCTTCTTCTTTATCAAAAGATTATGAACTAGTTGAAAGATATCTAATTACCACATAGTATTACTATCTCCTGCTTTATGTTTTCTATGTATTTAATAAGGATAAAGAAACATGGTGGAAATCGTCAGTCCTAGCTGAGTTAAATGCAGATTTTCTTGGTAGCTAACATTTCTAGTAAGTATTATACCACTGTTAAAGCAAGGCCTACATTTCTTCTTGTCTGAGCTCCCTCATACCTGGAGTTTATATCACTTGTTCATGCTTGAAGAACTTGCATATATATCTGGGAGCAGAAGACCCACTGAAGATGTTTCTATATAAAACTGCCTCCTCTGACAAGCCTGAGTCATCAAAGCCCATCTTCCCCAAGTAGGAAAGATGCAGAGTTAATGCCTTGATACTCTTCAACACCAGATCATTACCTTCAAGTTTTCTTGCATTGAGAAGATCCATGTCTTCCTATTTCCAACAGAATAAAAATAGAGGCATGGGTTGACAATTCACGAGAGAACAGAAATGTGACACACTCATGTAAAAATGTACCTAGCCCCTTAATCGAATTAAACAGAAACTGTAATAATAGGAAGACATTATGTTTCATCTACCAAACTGCCAATAATGCAAAACATGTATTTGTTGTGGATGCCTTAGGAGAAGAGATATGTCTTTACACTGTTGATAGGAGTCTAATTTGGGAAAAGCCATTTTTCAAGATGTTTTACTACAGTATATTTAAAACTTTAAGCGATACATGTCCTTAGTACTAGAATTCTATCTCCAAGAATTATGTAGTGAGAAAAGAATTAGGGGCAGAGTCTTAGGCACAAGAGTAGGTACCGTATCACAAAATAAATGGTCTCTTCTGATTTATTTATTCATTTAAATTGAAAAATAAAAATTATATGGAATTGCAGGGCTAGCAGCAAGCTTAATCTAGCAAGTATGAGGCCCTAATATTCAATCCTCAATACTGCCAAACAATACCAAAAAAGATAAAAGAAAAAAATGCTCAGAAATTAAAACAAATTAATGGCACAAATTTAAAAACGGTGCTATTCTTAAATTCATTTGTTCTAAAGTTCTGCATATCCCCCTCCCCGCCCCCGTACCAGTAGGGAAACTGAACTTGAACTCAAGTTCAAACTTGACTTGCTTGGCTAGCACTCTATGACTGGAGCTGTCTCCAGCCCTGCTTTTTCCTGGTTATTTTGAAAACAGAGTATGTGGGACTTCCTTCCTGGGCTAGCTTTAAACTGAAATCCTCTGAATCTCAGTGTCCTCAGTTGCTAAGATGACAGGCGTGAGGCACTGTATCCCACTCTCAAGTTCCACTTTTGTTAGGTCTGTCATATCCAATCATTTTACTTGGGTTACGAGAACAGCACACTACAAATGATTTTTTAAAATTCTAGTGATTTTCTGAAGCCTCAAACTTTTATAGGTTCATTTAAATATGACTTACCTGTGCACATGGTATGCACTCCAGCCACAGCAGATGGGACAGTCCATCATAAGGAAATATCTGCCATCGACAGTCAAGCACCTGCACATCCCCCAGAAGTCTATCTGCCAGAGGTCAAAAGTTTAAGATCTCCCTTTCTGAATTGTGTCATTCCTATGGAACCAGTTGGAAAGGCAAGACTACTTCTTCCTAATTAATTTAGTCCAAATTGATGTTTCACAAAGTCACTGATTTTCAAATCTGCAATATACAAACAGCAACTACCAGTTTGGCTTTTCATAGCCTGTATATATTTCCCTTGGACATATCATAATATGGTCTCTTTTGAGTACGTGTGTGTGTGTGTGTGTGTGTGTGTGTGTGTGTGTGTGCGCGCGCGCGCGCACTTGCACATGCCAGTCCAGGGGCTTTGAACTGTGATCCTTAGATCTCAGTCTCCTGAGTTGCTAGGATTACAAGTGTGAGCCACCATATATGTAGATATATATATACATATATATATCTATATATCTACATATATATAAATTTTGATACTTTCTCGGGAGAATTCCTTTAAAATCTGATGCTGTAATTTTATGTTTATAAATGCTCACTTTGTTTTTAAGCAAAATAAAGCATTTAAAATAGTACAAAGCCATATGGCAGTTACTAAGATACAAACACTTATTTTCTAGCTATTAATTTAAACCTAGGGCAAAGATACCATACATATACAGACACAGATGTGTAAATATACACAAACACACACATTCAGGTATATTTATAATTCTCTTTGTCTATATATTTTTATCCCCATTTTTCTCATCTTCTCATACGTATACAAGAATGCATGCAGGAATACATACATACATACATACATATGGATCAGAAAAGGAAATAAATTGTTGGTGTTCCTTGGAGTCATATTAAACACAATCCTGAAGTTCAGGCTCCAAAACCAGTAACTTCCAGTAGACTCTGGATGTATGAGGATAGTTTAACAGATCTATTGAGAGCTATTTTAAATAAAATATCAATTTTAGATAGGAGTGCACTTCCTTTCCCAAATCTTTCTAGGACATCGTTTTAATTCCATCAAATATCAATTTGTACTATATTGACTTGACATTTTGTGTGATTTTAATCAATATTAGACAGAAATGTGTCTTTTTAAGTATGCCTTTTCTACAGCAAACACCAAACACATTATATACACAATATTGCGATAGGGAATATCTAAAAAGACAAGAAGTCTTGAAGAATGGACAGTGGTGTATGTTCCCAAGGCCCTTCCATATCCAGTGCTATTCATTTCTCTTTCCTTTTCCTTAGAAGATGCTAAAGCTTCACAAGGTAAAAACATCCCTTCCCTGAGTTCCACAGGAGTGGCCAGCCTAGCTCCCTTATTATTGCTCATTTGAGCACTAGAAAGAAAAATCTCCATTGGCTGTTGTCACATACTAGCCACGCCTACCACACAGAAGTAAACACCTTCCATTCAAAAGATTGGCACTTACTAAGAAAGACTATTAGAAGTTGATTCCTTTGATGACACTCTGTCTCCCTTAGAATCTGTAAATTGATTCTGTTTTCTTTCTGCCTTTAAAGGGAAGTCCCTGTATGCTTCTTTCCAGGGTGCTTCTTCTATACTTTTGTGTTAAATATTGGTGAACTCAGGATTCTGTCTGCAGACTCTTCTCTTTTACTTGCCTTTGGGAATAAGTCTTTGGGTCTTGGGAATCTTGTTTCTAAATAGATATTTCTAAACATAATTGGACTGAAACATATATGGATATGTGTTTCATATATATAAATATGAATGTGTATATAATTTCCTAATAGATTTCTGAGCTGATTAGACACAAACACCTCAAAACAACTGAACCATGTCTGAATATTTTTTATGCTGGTCCTGGTTTGAACTCTGGTCCTGAGCACTAATCCCTGAGCATTTTTTGCTCAAGGGTAGGGTACTCCCATTTGAGCAAGAGTGTCACTTCTGGTAATTGTGATGCTTAGTTGGAGTCTCACAGACTTTCCTGCCTTGGCTGGCTTAGAACCACAATCCTCAGATCTCAGCTTCCCAAAAAGCTAGGAATACAAGCGTGAGCTATAACATCTGGCTGAATTATTAATATCGTCAAAATGATATATGTTAAGTCTCAATTTGGGTTATTACATCCTTTGCCTACTTTCCTATGAGAGAAGATAGGATTTAAAATTAATTTTAAGATTTTATTTGAGATTTTTTTTAAATAAGGTTTCTAACTAGCCACATATTTGTAATCCTCAAGCCTCTATTTTTCTAGTGCTTAAATTACAGGCTGGTGCTACCATCTCTGACATGAAAATATAGAAAATATAGCTTTTAAATTATTTGCCTTCTCTTTGATCTTATGCAATGAATTTGACCACTAAATCTTTTTTAAATTTTTTCTTTTCTGGTCTTGAGGTTTGAACTCTGGGCCTACGTGCTGTCCCTGAGTTCTTTTTGCTCAGGCCTAACCCTCTACCATTTGAACCATAGAGCCACTTCCAGCTTTTTCCGTGATTTAACTGGCAATAAGAATCTCATAGACTTTCCTGCCCCAGCTGGCTTCCAGCTATAATCTTTAGATCTCAGCCTCTGAGTAGCTACGATTATAGGTCTAGGCCACCATCTGACTAGTAAATCTTAATTCTAGCTTTCTGAATGGGTTTTCCTTTCCTCCTTAGGCCTCAAACTTATATATTTTTTCATGTTGATAATGATAATACTATCTGATCAGCCCCTGTTTCTCCCAAGCCTGAGCTATGTGTTGGTGAGTTTTCTTTTCTTATATCTTTAAGTAGTTGTACAAAGGCATTACCAAATCAACACATTGTATCTTGATCAATGTATCTTGATCACTGTACTCCCTTTCGTCATTCTTCTCCTTCCCTCCCAATGAATTTTGTTATGTAACGGAATACCTAAGGCTGGGTATCTCCTAAAGAGGAGAGACGCAAAAAGGGAGCCAGCCATGAGAGGATGGGAGGCATGAGGCAGTGAGTGGCCTCTCTTCGAACAGGCTTCTCTCACTAAGTGTAGCATGCATCCTTCCTGAGGGGAGAGCCTTCTGTGACCTAATTGCCTTCCTCTAGGACCCATCATCTTCAAACATTGCCACACTGGAGCTAAACCTACCCACCAACGAGCCTTTGGGGAATGAACCACAACCATATTTGAACAAGTCTACTGCTTCCTCATTCAACAACAACTTTGTTTCCAGGCTCAGATACTGGGAGAGGTGAGCACAATTGGTGACCAAGCCCATGTCTCTACAGACGACTTCTGGGTATGTCCAGGGAAGACTTGGCAAAGTCTCAACTCTCAGGTGCTCTGGGCTCCACATGATGGACGTTCGGCTTTAAGAACAGTCCCCAAGGCTCTCACCTGTGTTGAGTGCATAGGAACTTTTAGTCTCTGCTCCAACGCTACCTCCTTCCTCATCTGTATAATGTTCTCTCCTCTCCTCTTCCTAAAGTCCTCAATTTGCTAGGTGCTCACACGGACATTGCATATTTTGCTGTAATAACACTTACCATATTAAAATCCAATTACGTGTCTACTTACCTATCTGTCCAACTAGCCTGGGAGCTTCTAGAGGTCAGGAACTACATCTTATTAAATTTTGTTTTTCCACACTTGGTACAATAGTCAGCATTTATTATTCATTGGATGAAGACATGGTTATTATACTAAACAAAAAAATCAATTCAATAAGCCACATCCAAACTTTATTCAATTTTTAGTTTCCCTGTGACTTAAAATAATATCTAAGTCAAGGTAACAGTCCTCAGACATTCTTAATTACCCTTTGCTGAAGTAGGTATGCATTTGTTACTCATTTCAATATCCATCCAAATAGCTTTTACATTTAGTTTATGTACAGTCTAGTCATTACAGAAGATAATCTGAAGTCAACCAGTAAATAGAAGAAAATTTCAATATAGTGAAGCTGTCTTTCAAAGTACTCAGTAAATAATGTATTAAGATTTTCACATATAAAGGTCTATCTGTATGAAATGTTAATAAGCAAAATTACTATGTCTTAATAAAATTATTCTTTAAAATAGCCCACACAAAAATTCAGTTAGTAGTTTTTCAAATACTTGAATACACTCAGAATGGCAAATAAAACTAAGGTTCTATGGCTTTAACATTTATGTTTTTCTGTTTCAGTGATAATTACATCAATAAATCTGACTCAGCAATCACTGCCGTTCAATTCATTAATTAAAACTATTTTACTGCTGCTGCTGGGATTTTTCAAGGATATCAAAAACACATTCAAAAATCAAAATCACATACATCATCAATTTTGATAGGTATATAGAATACTTCTCTTCAATTTCAGCTCTGCAACTAAGAGAATAGACAGAATCTCAACAGAGACAGCTTATACTCTACTTCAGAAAAAAAAAATACTTCGAAGAGCTGAATGCCAGTGTTTCATGCCTATAATCCTACCTACTCAAGAAGATGAAATCTGAGGATCATGGTTCAAAACCAACCCAGGAAAAAAAGTCTGGAGGATCTTATCTCCAATCAATCAGCAACAAACCAGAAGTGGGGGCCTGGCTCAAGTGGTAGAGCATCATCCTTGAGCAAAAAAAAAAAAAAGGCTGAGCAAAAGCAAGAACAGAAGGCCCTGAGTTCAAGCCCTGGTACTGACATACGGAAAAAATAAACACTTAGAACTGGAGATGAGTTTAATTGAAATGTTAATATCCATGTGATAGTAAACTGATCAGTTTACTGAAAATCCTTTTAGGTTGGAAATATATAAATGTGTATAGATGCTTAAACAATAGCGATGATAGTAGATTTTTACAAGGTGTAATGGGTACTGTATAATAATGATAAATGATAGGTTTGTGGGTATAGAAACATGATCAGGACCATGCTTCAAGGTCAACTGGGACAAAAAAAAAATCAACAGTTCAGGTGACTGCTGCAGTTACACAGAAAACAATGTCTGTGATACCAGATATGCAAAAGGCATTGGTAGGAGGAGCAGTCTGATATCAGCAAAAAGGCCTGAGAATGTGTCTAATTGTAGACACCTGACAAATAAGTGCTAGGTCCTAATTTCAAACTCTA